GGGTAGCGGTGGAGCCGGCGGCCGCCTAACCCGCGGCCGCGTGCAAGGGTTACTGGAAGAGGAGGCAGCGGCGCGGGGCCGCTTGGAGCGCACCCGCCTCGGAGCGCTTGCGCTGCCCCGAGGGGACAGGCCTGGACGGGCGCCGCCAGCCGCTAGCGCCCGCGCGTCTCGGAGCAAGGTGAGCGCGCCGGGAAGGGGGGGCGCGGCACAGCGCGGTGGGCAGGTGCGGGCGAAGTTAGTGGAGGGGGCGCGAGTCCCGGGAGGGATGAAATGGTTGGGGCTTTTCGCTTCTTCTTTGAGGGCTTGGTGCGTGGTGACCTTGGCAAGTGACTTAATCGTTTCAAGCCTCAGTTTACACTGTTCAGACGCGACTTAGTATCAGTAGCGACCCCTTGGGGTTGTTGAATCAGCTTAGCGCGATTTGGCTGCTGAGGGCGCTGTTAACTCAGGGCCTGGCACGGAGCGAATTCATAAAAGTTAGTCCATGTTATTAAAGGTGGCATTGGACACGCGGCTTCGTCCTGGGGCCTGAGGCCTGGGCGCCGCATTACCATAACTATTAATCTGGTTTGCCTGTCTTTTGGACGCAGAGAGGTGGGGAAGAGCGAGTGCTTGAGAAAGAGGAGGAGGAAGAGGATGAAGACGATGATGATGATGACGACGATGAAGATGATGTGTCAGAGGGCTCTGAGGTGCCTGAGGGTGACCGTCCCTCTGGTGCCCAGCATCACCAGCTTAATGGCGAGCGGGGTCCTCAGAGTGCTAAGGAGAGGGTCAAGGAGTGGACACCCTGTGGACCCCACCAGGGTCAAGATGAAGGGCGGGGGTCAGTGCCCATCGGAGGCACCCGCCAGGCCTTCTCCATGGCCGCTATGAATAAGGAAGGGGGTTCAGGTAAGGATGACTTTTAGGTGGGGTGTGCCAGGTGAAGAGAAATCCGTCTTCAAAACTACAGACAGTGCTTCTTATTTCCTTAGCCTCTGCTACCACTGGGCCAGACTCCCCATCTCCCGTGCCTTTGCCCCCAGGAAAACCAGCGCTACCTGGGGCTGATGGGACCCCCTTTGGCTGCCCGTAAGTCGAAGCATGAGATACAGGAGTACCACATTCGGGCTTGTGCAGCAGAACAAGAGTGGGTATCACCTCTCACTGGTCTTCCCGTTTTGTTGCAGTTCTGGGCGCAAGGAGAAGCCCACCGACCCTGTGGAGTGGACGGTGATGGATGTTGTGGAGTATTTCACAGAAGCTGGCTTCCCCGAGCAGGCCACAGCTTTCCAAGAGCAGGTGAGCTCCTGGCCTGAACGGGCAGACTCCCTGAGGTCCTCGGCTTCGGGACTCTGCTCCGACCCAGCTCTGTTTCTGTCTCGCCCAGGAAATCGACGGCAAGTCGTTGCTACTTATGCAGCGCACAGACGTGCTGACCGGCCTGTCTATCCGCCTCGGTCCAGCCCTGAAAATTTACGAGCACCACATCAAGGTGCTACAGCAAGGCCACTTTGAGGATGACGACCCCGATGGCTTTCTAGGCTGAGCGCCGGCCTCACCCCAACCCCCCTCCATTCCAGTCCCAGTCTCACCCCAGGTCCCGCAGAGTCCAGAAGCTTCTGGATGGGGATACCTTCAGCCCTCATGGCAGATTCCAATGAGGGTGTATTTTCCTACTCATCTACCCCATGTCTCCCCATCCTGATCCCCACATCTGCCCCCCAGCACATCTCGGACTCCATGTTGGGGTATAAGATGGGACAGGGCCTGCTCATTTCATCCCAAGAGGCCAATCCCCCCAACCCCAGGACATTGATGGAAAAAACTGGGGCTTCCTCCTATCTCCCCAAGATCCTATTCCGTTCAGCCAGATGTTTCCTATATAAATGTTTTCTTCTGCCTGTTCATTTTGGTGGGTGGGTGGCCTTTCCTTCCTTCCCCACCATCCATGACCCTTCCCAGTCTCCTGGCCACCAGGCCCCAAGAGTACCGGAGCAGGGTCACTGGGTCTTTCCTACTCCCCTTTCTGTCTGTCGGTCGTCGCTCCAGCTGGCTGTATTGCTTTTTAATATTGCACCGAAGGTTTTTTAAATAAAATTTTAAAAAAAGAAAATGACCAGGGAGTTGGTTTCGTGAATGGGTCTGAGGAAGAGGTGTTTCGAGTATTTTCCCAACCCCCAACCCTCCAGTGGAGCTTAGGATAATTAAGGATAGAGATGTTTTGGGAGGAGGCTGCTTGGTGACTGGAGTATGATGGGCCCTGCAGGAGTATTTGATTTGTTCTCTGACATCTTCCATGTCCAGACACTGACGTTTAAAAATGTCTTGTGGAGTGGCCAGCAGCTGACTACCAGGCTTTTTCCTGTCCTCTGCATGAGAGACTTTTCCCAAACCCACTTTATACATGAAGCAGCTTGAAGTCGTAGGGCAAGAGGGTAATGATGCCTGTGCAGTCACACCCACATCTCCCCACCAAAAACCCCAAACTATTCTATTTGGCTCCATGTGTAACCGAGTAGAATTGCAACCAATGAGTTTTTCACTGCTGCCATCTTGCCAGGCCTTCCTTCTGCCTGCCACACAGCACAGCAGGCTGGATTCCCACTGTCATCAACCTGTAGGATTAGTAGTTCAAGCCTCAAGAGCCTGAATGCTTTACTCTCGGGCTCCAAGTGTAATTAATTAGTCTGCCTTGATAAAATGTAATGCTTGTCAGGGTGCTTTGGTGGCCTAGTGGCAAGAAGCTGTGCTGCAATCTTGAAGGCGCTCAGTTCAAATCCACTAGATGCTTCACTGGAAAAGGAGGGGCAGTCTCCTGTCCCAGTTGGATTTGACTTGACGGAACACCACCACCACCACAACAAAAGATAAATACTTGTCAAACTTGACCCTCTAGAGAATCCAATTTCTGAGGCCCAGATCTTTTAGGCAACTGAAGTAGGGTCTATTAGGCCTTAATTTCTGCACCATAAAACGAGAAGAGTTGGGCCACATGAAAACTTTTAATGAGAGTTGTTTAGATCAGCCAAGTACATTTCAAATCTCTGCCCAATTGTCTTGAGTTTCTCAACCCCGTGAGGTGGTTCGGCCTGAGGGACCTGTCCGGTGGGGCCTGGGTCTCCTTTAAGCCTTTATCAGGGGCTTGGATACAAGGTGGAGATCCCAGCCCCCCTAGAAAACTGCCTCCCAGCGAGAAAGGCCTGGCCCCTCTGTGCTGGTGCGGACCGGCTTCGCCCGCGCGCGCGGGGCCCAGGTTTTGGCGGGTGCTGCGCGCAGCGTGCGGGTGCACGGGACCCCCGAGGGCGCGCGGCTGCGAGCTCCGCGCCCCTTCCGCTTGTTGAAATTCAAATGAGGCGACCTCTAGACGGCGAGGCGCTGGTTGGGAGGTCGAGGTAGGGGGCGAGCTGCTGGAGGCAAGTCCGAGGCTTTAACCTGCGGCCGCCGACGTGTGTGCGCTTTCAGGCGCTCCGGGGCCCCAGGGTGATGGCCTCAGAGCAGTGGTTCGTGGACGTACAACCCCGGGGAGGCGAGGAAAAAGCACCACCTCCGGAGGAGACGGAGGGACCTGAGCCTGAAGCACCGTCCGGTCCAGAGCCCTGGGCGAAGCCTCCACAGAGGCCTGCGGACCCCACGGAGCAGGAGGCCGAAGGTCCTCGGGGGCCGCAGCCTGAGGCCGCAGCCTTCCCGCCGTCTCAGGGGCCGATAGCTTCTTTTCGCCTACCCATGGAGAGCCTGTTCTTCCCCATCACCGAGCAGTTCCGCTACCTGTGGAAGAAGGCAGATGACTTCCAGAGTTACTTACTCTACAGGTGATGCTGGGTGGCCCAAGGCGGTGGGTGAGATTTGAGAGAGGAGGTGATAGGTTAGAGACACACACACACGCCATAGGTTCAAAACCACAAGGAGCCAATTGGAAGTATTTCTGAAGCTGACAGATTAGGAAGCCAATTTGGAAGAACCATGAGGATTGGGGTTCTCCTCACGTGCCTGACCAGCACGGACTTTCTGTGGCCAGATTCCCAAGGACTTTGGCTCCCAGTTGGTAAATGGCGGCTCGGATTTTGAAATCTAGAAGTTCAACGAACCCATGGCCCTCCGGGGCAACCAGTTCGAGACCCTCAAAAGATACAGTGATGACCTGGTCAGGGAATAGGGGATTTACTGGGGCCGTGGTGCTCACTTTTCCGCGGCTATTCAAATCCTCAGGGGAGGCCGAGTTGAGTCAAAGTCAGGTGTGGGTTTTGAGGCAGGTGTGCTGGGGGATTGCATGATGGCGTTCAGACTGAGAATACAAGTGGTGAGGCGCCTGGGAGAAATGGGGGCTGGAGGCACCTCAGGTAAAAGTCCCCTTCCCTCTCCAGCAGGGACCGAGTACAGAAGGAACAGATGGCTGAGGCCATGCCCACCTTCTTAAAGATGTGTGAGCCCTATTTCCTGTACCTGGAGGCAGCTGCTCGGAGTGTGCCCCCCATCTATGGAGCCATGCAGGAGGTGTTTCGAAAAGGGGTGCGTGGAGCAAGTTTTCTGGACCCCCCCCCACACCTTTCTTCTCACAGTCTCAGGCCTAGGGATGGGGTGATGCCACTATCTCTGCTGATGCTCTTATTAATGCCACCTCTTCCATGCAGCTGTTGCAGATCTCCCAACAGCTGGCCCTGCGTATTGAACAGCTGGTCCTCATGTTTGCCTCTTTTGGGCTAGTGGAAGTGGAGGACACTAACCCCTTCAGGTAAAATGGTAAGAAAGTGGGAGGGAGCAGCGTGGCCCTGGGTGCAGCCTCATCCTCCATTCTCTCATCTCCCACCAGCATCTCCAACTTCTTCTGTGGAACGTTCTCCATCAGCCCTTCCCTTGAGATGTCCATCTTCAGATACTGTGCCCCAGCTCCCTACACCGCCAGCCGCTTCCCCCCATACCTCTACAAGAAGATGCGCTGGAACCTGAAGATCAGGGGGCAAGATCGTGTTGTGGATTAGTGAGTCCTCCTATCAAAATGAAATACACCCTACCCCACACGCCCACAGAATTCAGACACAGGCCTCTAAACCACTGTCACTTAGTGTGAAAAGCCAACCAGGAAATGCAGTGCCTTTTAAAGGTCATCCCCACCTTTTTTTTTTTTTTTTAAAGTTAACCTGTCTTCCCATCAAAATAAAAGTATTCGTCTTAAAAATAGGTTGGGGAGGAAAGTCCTCTAAGAGTCACTTGCCTACTTTAGAACTTCAGGGCAACTTCAGATGCTTCCACCTCATCTCCCAAACCAAAGCCCTCCACAAAACATAGGTAGGAAACTGATCACTTTAATTGCTACTGCCTCCCCTCCTAGCTACTTCCTATGCTATCGAGACACATGGGAAGAAACAGGCAAAAGCCCAGCAAACTCCTGCGCCCAGATCCAGAAGCTCTGGTCCCTTGGCCGGTGGGTGCCCCTGGGACCTGTTGATGACGACGACATTTTTTCATGGTAGGAGTTGGGCTCCGGGTGGAGGGGCGGAACCTCCCCTCTAAAGATAACTTAGCTTCCTGAACACTTTAATTAGCTTCCCTTGGTCATAATGATCACATTTTATTGTGCCCTTAAAAGTGTTTTATGTAGAGTCCCATAACAACCCATTGAGACTACGAGGCCTATTTTACAGAGAAGGAAACAAAGTTCAGAGAAGTTAAGTTACCTGCCCAAAGACACAGAGCCAACTGAGAAACTTGACTAGATCAGAGTGGTTTTCCAGAGCCACGCCGCTCTGGGTTTCTCATCAACAAAGGAACAACTTTCCCTGTAAATAAATAATCTTTCCTCCTCTAGTAAGGAGCTGTGCTGCCAACCCAAAGGCATGCGGCTCAATCTACCAGCTAGTCCGTGGAAGATGGGCAGTCTCCTCCCATGTGATTAAACTGCCTCTGAAAACCCACTAGGGCCAGCTAAGCCGGTTGTGACTCCATGGCACCTAGTAAAGAGTTAAGAAAAGGCCTCTTCAGCAGCAGCCTCTCTTGAAAGTAGAGGCTCCCGAAGGGCAGGGGCCACTCACTTCCAGATCTGTTTGTCCCCACTCTCAGGCTTTTGTGCACCTATCCGCTGGGGGACTACCAACAGCTGCTGACCATCGGCTTCGAGGAGCCTTCGCACACGCTGGCCACTGACCTGCTGGTGCAGATCCTCACAAGCCAGGCAGGCACTGCCCCGCCTCCGAGCACTGCCGGGCCGGGGCCAGGGCCCAAGGCCGCGCAGGGATCTTGAACCGGAGTAGGAGCTGAAGTTTGACACTTTCAAACTCCAGGCGAAGGGGACAGGGCGGGGGCTCACTCTTTCTCGAAGAGATAGCCTCTCTTTCCAAGAGATCAAGCCAAACTTATCATTTGTGCTTAGAGCCCAGCACGGCCGCGAGGCTCTGAGTATGAGCATGTCTTTTTATAACGTGTTAATAAAGAAAATAAAGGTTAGACGTTCTGAATCTACTATGAGCGCCGCACCCCTTTGCCCCAAGAGCCATGGGCCCCGCCCACTCGCTTGGCCTTCTGGGAGTTGTGGTTTTTAGAAGCGAAATGGCACAAGTTGATTGGCGGACGGGGAGCGCGGCGCATGCGTACAGGTGCGCCTGAAGTTAAAAAAAGGGGGGGGAGGGGAAAAAGTAGCTGCGGAACAACCGGAAACCAGGAAATCGCGAGCTTCGGGTAGTCAGGAAATCTAACCCCCACTGGCACAGCCGCAGCCACGCCTGCGCTCCTGCTTTGACCCGGAAGTGATTATTCCCCCCCTTACGGCAAAAAGACTTCTGTTTCTGGCGTCCCTCCTACCGGCGAGGCCCGTCGTCGGTTTCCGAAGGGCTGAGGTCAGATCTTCCTTCGGTGTTGGGGTGATGGCCCCCTGCGTGTAGCTCGCCATCCCACGTTGGGGTTTCCACATCGCTGCATCCCAATTCTGGACGGGGAGATCCATCCAGTTGGAGGCAGGTAAACTCACCTGGCTCGAGTCACGGCGAAGGGGGAGGCATCAACTCTTTTCTGTCCTGGCTTTATTACTCATCAGTGAATTTCTCCCTTTAAACAAAGGCACGCTTCGATCTCCTTCCAAACTCGAGACATAGTTAGAGTGGGAAGAGAGACCTGGAGCCTTGCCCTTAGCTTTTGAGCAAGCACTCGTCTGCCTAATACATGGCACTTGCAGGCGATCGATGATCGACTATGGATGATCGAGCCGGTATTCAACAAGTACCGACGCTTGCTTAACACAGAGACTATTACCATCCGTCCCTTTTTACAGTGAAGGAAAACAAGTGAGCGGTGCAGCCAGGATCGGACCCCAAAGCCCTTGCCATTTTGGTGACCATTTCTGCATTTATCATTGTTTTGTTGGGCCCAGCTCAGGTCTGAATTTATAGATCCCTGATACTGATTGCGAGTAGCCCCTAAGATCACATGTAATGTTTTCCTTTTACCCCCCACCCCCTCATTGCTATTTCTTCCCCCTCCCCAAGTCATTTTGTCTTTAATCACCTGTCGGGGATTCACACTGTATTTATTCACACTTAACTCCCCTTAAAAGAGAGGCTACCATGAATGATCGAGGCCGAGGCTGGACTCCAGAAAGACAGGAGAGAAGGAGACAGAGCTTCATGGCTCACAGACTGCAGAACTTGGTAATGGAAACTCTCCGAGGGGTAGCAAGCAGCAGATGAGACGTGAAAGTGAAATACCAGGGGCCCTCGGAGGATAGGACGTGGCTGCTGGGTCATGAGCATCTTGAAGCGTTGCCTGATGATGATTCGGTGTCTCCAGTAGTATCATCTGGGGAGAATGGAGCAGGATGGGCTGAACAGGGTCGCACTTTTCCCCCTTATAGACCCATTCACCCTCCTCAAGACAGTCCTGGAGAAACATCACCACATTCCTGCGAGATAGTCCAACTACTTCTGCAATAGAGTCCGCAGCTTCCTCCTTGAGTCAGTTCAGACTCATAGCTGACCCTCTGGCGGATTTCCAAGACTATAAATCCCATGGGAGGACCTGACTCCTCTTCTGTGTAGCCGTGGGTGGATTCGAACCTCCAGAGAAGCTGCCTTTTGGGTCAGCATTGCAATTCTCCACAGACTGTGCCACCAGAACTCCCTCTTTCTTCAAAATACTTCAACATGCATTCAGTGTGAAAAACTGAGATATTTTTTAAAAACCCACCACAAACCAGAAATATAATACTAAGCTTTTGCAATCTCGTGTAAATTTTGCATTTACTGCACGTCTCTAAATTGTCTCTTTTAGGAAAAATCTAAAGGATACTTAAGGCTAGGGTTTCGGGTGGTTGGTAACAATACAGGGAAGGGAAGGAAATGGGCTTGATTTCCTGGGTCGTGTTGCAAGAGAACTGTTTACATTCATGATTGGACCGTGCATCACAGTCACGGGGCTTGTTCTAGCCCTAGGGTGAGGCCTGAGAATGTGTATTTCTAACAATGCCAGGCTGCTCCGAGCACTATGCATAGTGCTTCGTCCTATTCTACAACATGGTTCTCAAACTTGGCTGTTGCTCAGAACCACCTGGAGCTTTAAAAAAAAAAAGTTCTGAGGCTAAAATCCCACATCCGATTCTCATCTAATGAGGGAGCCTCAGGTGATTTTGTTGCTGCTAGGTGCTGTGATCTTTGTACGCAGTAAAATTTGAGAACAGGAGACACAGTAGCACGACAGCTAAGCTCTTGGCTGCTAACAGGTCTGAGGTGGGGTCCACCAGCACTCCACAGGAGAAAAGACTTAGCAGTGTGCTCTCAGCCTAGGCCCTGTAAGTAGTTCTGCTCTGCCCTTTGAGGTCGGTCACTTAAGCCAGAGTCAACCTGATGGCACCAGTAACCACAAAGGCAGCTCTTTGTACATACACAGTCCTGGCTACACATGCTTCTCTCACCCCACTGTTCACATGCTTGGTTCTTAGCTCCCTTTCCAAGAATTAAAAACAGGTTCTGGATGTTTCCATTACTCCCCTTGGCAACCTTGGCTCTTCCCTGGCCTCCCCAGATGCCATAATGTCATGGTGCTGCTGCTTGTGGTCACCATTAACAGGGTCAGAGCAGACCATTTTGGGGCTCAGGTGCTCTTGGGTACAGTGCGAGGTGAGTTGTTCATTCTTAGTTTTGTTTAGCTGTTTCCTGTCCTCTCTGTAGGGACAGGCCTGTTGTTAGGTCCAGGGCATAGGCTGGACAGATCTAAGACTTTAAACAGAGGCCCATACTGACTTAATGGTCTTAATTCCATAATGACTCAGTGGGTGTAATTCTCACCTGCGCAGGAGATTCCCCCACCCCAGTTCAGTTTCCAGCCAGTACATTGCATCCTTGCCAGTGGAGGCCGTGATGTTGCTACGATGATGAATAGACGCCTCCAGATAAGGTGGAGTAGCAAGAAAGGTCTGGTGAGCTACTCTGAAAAAATCAGCTGATTAAAAACCCCTGTGGATCGAAACTGCCCAACCCTAGGAGGCCACCATGAGAAGGGGACAGCTAACAAGTTTAAACTGTGATTTAAAAACCTTCCCTGGGTCTCAGTGCCCCTCCAAGGAGCTGTTTGTTTTCTGCATTCCTCAGAACATGATTACACATAGTTTTACAAACCACTCAGAGATTCACAGACCCACTTGAGCCCCATCCAAAGGGCCTTGAAAACCCTTGTCCGAGGACAGAGAAGTCAGCCAGGGCTTGCAATTAACAGCTGGCCACAAGCCCTGTCGCAAACAGGTGGCGTTGGTGCTCCACCCAAGCTCCAAAAATTTTAAGGCATTTTTCTAAATACAATCATTTTAAAGTTCAATAGATGTCTCTTTTGAAAGCCCAGTTCCCAGTCTGGCTTTTGAAAAGCGGAAGTTAGGGCACCACTGAGTTCGCTCATTTGTTTTTCAGCCCCCTAGACGCCACCCCTCTTTATTGCTTCATAGCTGTCCCGTTTCCTTCTTCTTGCCGGGCCCTTTAAGTTTGACATCTTAAGTTTGCAACTGCTGGGCAGATTATCAACATGCCCTGCGAAGGAACTTGTTGCGCCTCCTGTTCCCCGCCCCCCCCCTCGCGCGGCAGCTATTTGTTTTCCTCCCCAGGACATGAACAGCCTTAAATCATCTGTCTAGCCAACACCCAGCGCAGGGCACGCCGCTGGCACCAATAAATTTTGACAACGCGGCGGTGAGAAAGCGAGCGCGCGCGGGCGCGCGTCGGTCCGGACGCCGCAGTTCGCGCTTAGACCGCGAGGGGGTATCCGGGCCCGGGCCGGGCCGCGGAGCGGGAGGCGCAGGAACCCGGTGCTAAGAGCGCGTTCGCGCACACCTGACCGCGCCTCTCCCCTGCCTTTCTCCGACCTTCCGTCACCTGCCCGTTCTGGCCCCAGCCCGGTGGAGAGGTGCCTGAAGAAAACAGACCGCACTGCTCAGAGCGAAGGGCCTTTATTGGGGAGTGGGTGGCAGCTAAGGCCGCGACCTTGGCCCTTTAACCATCAGAGGCGAAGGGAGAAGCTGGTTGGGTTTGCAGAGTTACGCGGAAGGCTGAACTTGCATTAGCAGGGGCGGGCATGCATAGTGGTCAGGTTGTCAGGAAAGGGACTAAAAGAGTTTTACCGGGGAGAGGGCTTCAGGTCAGTTTCACAAAACCGAGCTCAGGGACGGACTGGTAGATTTCCTCATCCGCTGCAGACGACCCCTCACTGGGCCTCCCTGCGATCCAGGGGCATTCCTCCACGGGCATTCCTGGGGGTGCCCTTCACCCAGTCTTCCATCATGAAGGTTCCTTCCTCTGGGTGTCCCAGCCTGCTCCAAGCCTCAAGGCTTGCGCTCCTCCTGGGGAGAGGAGCCCAATCTGAAGGTGGCCTGGGGGTGTGCGCACCGAGGTGGGGACGCCCAGCGTTGAGTGGGGACTGTTTGGGTCTCTTGACCCCTTGGCTTCCCTCTGGCCTTTGGGTCCTGGCCCAGAGGCGCGCCTCAGCGGCAGTGGACATGCACATTCGTGACCCGGTATCGTGTGTGCGTGGCGCACTGGGAGGAGGGGGACACAAGTGCTCGAGCACAATGGGAAGGGGCTCCTACCTGCGCCAGGCCGTTCTCCGAAGGCTTCCTGCGAGGGGGCCAGATCACCGCCAGCTTTCCATCACCGGTACTCGCTGCGGCGGAAAGGGGCGCTCAGCCGGCTGCCTTTCCTCTCATCTGCTGGTGGCGGCCGGCAGGGACAGAAGAGGCCAGCCGTGCCCCTTAAACACACACAGGCGTTCACCTCCCTCCTCCCCCTGGAGGCTTTCTGGGGACTCAGGAACCTGAAGGATGAGGGAGGCGAATAGAAGAGTGGGGAGGCAGGAGCCCTCAAAGTTCAGAGGGAAGATTTGAAATAACAGAAGTGGGGCAGGGGTCCCTAGAATCTGGCAAAGAGAAAGGAACCCAGAATCCCTGATCCATGGAAGGTGAATCCTGGAGTCCACCCACCCAGGGGGGTACTGGGGGTGGGAAGGAAACAGAACGGAGAGGTCAGGAAATCTTTGAACTTGAGCAGGGACCTCAAGAACCAGAAGGGCGACTGGACAGCAGGGGAGGAGGCGCGGGTGGGGTCCCTGCGTCCCGGCGCCCGTGGCTCACCCGTGAGGCTGGGCGCGGGCTCCTTGAACTCGGCGGTGCCGTAGATGCTGCGCCGCTGGCGCTGCAGCTCCCGCTCGCGCTCCTGCACCTCGCGCACCTCCTGCTCCAGCAGCGACATCTCGGCGAACTGCGGGGCGCGGGCCAGCACCGGGCACCGGCTTTGCGCGGCCGAGCGCCGCGGGCCTCTGCCTTCCGGCGGCTTCTGCAGGCCCGCGCCGTCTGCGGTCGTGGGGCCGCACTCCCCGGCAGCCTCGAAGAATCGCCTGAGCTCGCCCAGCCGCTGCTGCTGCTGCTGCGGCGGCAGCGGCGGGGCGCTGGGCTCCGGGGCGGTGGCGCGTGTTAGCGCCGCCTGGCGGTGGGCCTCCCGCTCGATGTCTCGCTGCATCTGCGCGCCCGCCCGCGCGCGTTCCAAGGCGCGCGGGAGCGCGGGGTCGGGGCCGGGCCGGGTGAGCACCGGCCGCACGCGCAGCTCGACGAATTCGCGGCCCGCGCGGCGTGGGCTCAGCCCTCGGCTCCGGCGCAGGCTCTCCTCGCGCTCGCAGCTGCGCCGGATTTCGCGCTCGATGGGCGTCTCCATGAGCGGCTCCTCCGGGGTTGGTGCGCGGGCTTCAGGGAGTAAGGGGAGATGCTCTTGAGGGGCTACCAGGTCTGACCCCGAGGAGGGAGTCTCAGGAACTTGAGGGACACACTGCCCCAAGTCCTCTGCACTCCGCGCTTCGGACGATCCGGACTCTTCGCTCCCCAGCCCCAGGTTTTCAGAGCCCCCGACTTCGGACGCCCCGGAACCTTCTGCGTCCTGCCCGGCTGGTGATCCGCAGGCTTCCCTGTCTTCCTCCGGGGTCTCGGCGCCCAGCTCTGCAGGGGGCTCTGGGACTTCGCTGTTCCACTCTGCAGCAGGCCCGGGGGCTTGGCCCTCTGGCCCGGGGGGCTCGTGGCCCCACTCTTCCGACGACCCCAGGGCTCTGCTCTCCGGCCCGCGGGCCTCGGTGTCCAGCGTTGGGGTCAGCTTGGAAACCTTCGTTTCCAACGCCGAGGTTCTGATGCCCAGAGCTAGGACACCGTTTCCTGCGCGGCACCTGTGACCGCAGCCGCTGCCCGCAGGCTCCTGGGTGTCGCCTGCACTGGCCGCTTCTCTGACCCGCCTCTGGCCTTCCAGAACGGCCTCCCGGGGGCACGCCGGCACCGCCCCCGGCACCTGCCGCGAGAACCTCGGCCCCGCCCTGGTCCCGCCCTCGGGGCGGCGGTGACCCCGCTGGGCCGCTGGCTTTCGTCCACTGGCTGGGCCCGGGTCGGCTCAGGGCACTAGACTTCTGGGGAGAGGATTTCCCTAGACTCTGGCCTCTACCTGGGGGCCGGCTCACTCTCGCACTGGGGGGACCCCCTGTTACGTTTGCAACATTCCCACACACATGCACCCTGGTGACTACCAAGAAGAGTGTCCCCAGCTGCTCTGGATGTCCCCAGCTGGTGGGGATGTCCACTCAAACCCTTTGGCAGGCTTTGCCAGCTCCGCCCAGTTTGCGCCGAGCCCGCGGGCAGAGTTGCGCCTGCCTTGGGGGCTCTCCTTGTTCCATCCTTGGTTCCACCCTTGCCGCGCTCAGCTCTGGCCCGAGGGGGCGCCTGGAGCCGCTTCTGGGAGCGCGCGCGCGTCTTCCTCCTAACAGCCCTGCGCTCAAAGAGGTTCCAAGCGATTGTGCCCTTGCTAGTCATGCCCGGAGGCGACTTCCCCTCACCCTCTCCAGGAAAAAGTCCATCAAGCTTCCTCGGTCTACTGCCCTCCCAAGCAGAGCGAAAAGGGAGGGATCGGCACGGAGCGCCCAGGTGACGGGGAAAAGGCAGCTGGGGAGGCTGTGACAGGGCGGCGAGGCACCCAGGCTAGTGAAAGGGAGCAGCTTCCTGTGATTGGAGAAATTTCTCAGAATTCAAGGATCCCCAAGAGCTGGCTCCTATTACCAGGATAAACTGGGGAGAATTCTTTTTTTTTTTTTTATTGGAGAATTCTTAATAGCCTAATGGGCAAGGCATTTACTGTGTGGATCATAACAAATTAGGACTAAAATCCTTGGAGAAGGACATGCTCCGAAGGGTGGAGGGCCAGCGCCGGAGAGGAAGACCTTGATGAGAAGGGTTGATAACAGTAACTGGGGCAATAAGGGGTTGGTGTGTCGGAATTAGTGAGATAGGGTCGCTATGGGTTGCAGGCGACTGGACGGCACATAACACCAGCCATGAGAAAAATGAGAAGGAATCTCAGAACACTTAACCTAGGCTTATGTGAAACCTAGACCTACACCAAGACGCTTCTGTCCCAACAGAGCAAGGGAACACTGCCTGGTTTAAAATCTAGAAAGGTTACCCCATACCTATTCAGTCTGTATGCTGAGCAGATCATTCAAGAACCTGGAGATAAAAGTGTCAACATTGCTTGCTGAAAGTGAAGAGGATTTGAAACACTTGCTACCAAAGATCAAAGCCTTCCGCATGGATTACATCTTAACATCAAGAAAATGAAAATCTTCACCACTAGACCAAATAGGCAACATTAATAGATATTGAAGACCAATAGATGGAGAAAAGATTGAAGTTGCCAGGGATGTCATTTTACTTGGATCCACAGTCCTTTGATACGAACAGTCAAACAATCAGAAAGAGGCGCTACATTGAGAAAATCTGCCCTCTAAGACCTCTCCAAAGTGTTCAAGAGTGATGATGTCAGTTTAAAGACTGAGGTGCACCCGATCCAAGCCATCGTCTCTTTAATCACTTGCTGTGCATCTGAAAATTGGACAACAAATAAGGGTGATAGCGGAAGACTTGATGCCGTTGTTGTTGTGTTGGAGAAGTTGTTAAGTACAATCGAGTCAGAACAGGCCCACAACTGACCCTCCACCAGGTTCTCAGAGGCTGTAAAAGACACTGGAGGAGATTTTCCACCCGTCCCCAGCAGAGCAGATGGTGGATCCGAACCGTGTGCCTTCAGTTTGACAGTACAGCTCTTTATCACTAGGCTACCAGAGCTCCCTAGGTGATGGAAAAGATTACTGAATATCCCATGGACTTTCAAAAGAACAAACAAGTCTCAGAAAAAGTACAATTATGACGCTTCATGGGGTGAAGAAGTCAAATTTTGTCTCACATACTTTAGGCATGCTGGCGCTTTGGAAGAAGACATCATTCTTGGAAAGGAGGAGGGCCGGCAAAAGAGAGGAAGAACCTCAATGAGAGGGATTCACATAGTGCCTATAACAATGGGCTCAATTATAGCAGAAATGATGAGCACAGGATAGGGTAGAGTATAGGTCATTGTTCACAGGGTACCTAACAAGAGCAGGTAAGTGAAAGGTCGGGAGAAAGATGGGCAATCTCCACCATGTGATTTACTGTCTCTGAAAATTTTCTGAAGAGTCTACTATGAGTTGATTCCTACTCAATGGCACATTACGACCAATAACCTAGGAACCTAGCAAAGGCCAAACCAAACCCAGCCTGGGTCCCAAAGCTGAAGAGCAAATTCAGCAAAGCAACTATGAGATATCATCTCACCCCAGTAAGAATAGCAAAATTTAACAACAGCAAACAACAAATGCTGATGAGGTTGTGGAGAAACTGGAACCCTTATTCACTGTTGGTGGGAGTGTAAAATGGTACAACCACCATGTAAGGCTATATGGCTCTTTCTCAGAACGTTACAAATAGAAATTCCATTTGATCCAGCAATTTCACTACTGGGAATATACCCCGAAGAGACCATAACTGCCACCCAAGCAGATATATATACATCCAGGTTTATTGAGGCTTTGTTCACAATAGCAAAGAATTGGAAACAACCCAATTTCCCATCAACAAACAAATGGATAGAGAAGCTCTGGTATATTCACACAATGGAACACTATGTTGCATTGAAAAACAAGGAACTCATGAAATATTATTAAAAATGGGTGACCCTGGAGAACATTATGCTGAGTGAAATATCTGAGTCACAAAACGACAAATACTGCATAATACCACCGTTATAAAAGAGGACTGGCATCGGGGTTGGGGGGAGACTGAGAAAGAGGGGATAAAGTATACTTCATTAAAACATATTAAATTATTTAAAAGGGATATATGATTATATATGTTATGACAGGAGTCCAGAAGGAAGGCTGCACAGTAGAGTGGACCTGAGGGGAAGGATTGTATAACAATGAAATAAATTTTCTTTTACTTTTCAAAGAGAAGAGCAAATTGGGGGCCGCGGGGTGGAGTGGGGAGAAAAGTGCAACAATGAATGAATGGAAATCCAAAGTCTCTGTAAACTTTCATCAAAATTAACTTTTAAAAAAGAGTGAATTCAGATTCCTGGGAACCTCATATATCACAAATTAAAAGCACTCTATAGGGGTTTCTTGGCTGTGATCTTTGTAAAGACCCATCTCTGGGTTTTCTCCCAAACCATCACTGGGTGAGTTTGAACTACCAGCCTTCAGGTTCACAGTCACAGTCTCACTCATTGCTGTCAAATCAGAATCAGTTCATAGCTGGCCCTCCAGTGGGTTTTCAGAGCCTGTAAATCCTGTAAGAGGGGGTTGTCCATCTTCCTCCAGAGGAGCAGCTGTTGTTTTCAAGCTATATGCCTGGGGATCGAGAGGTAACATCATAATAGATGGATAAAAGATTGAGGCTGTCAACTATTTCATTTTAGTTGGATCCACATAAATCAACACCTGTGGAAGCAGCAATCGAGACATCAGGAGATGGACTGCATTGGGAAAATCTGCTCTCGAGAGGCTCTGAAGTGCTGACAAGCAAGGATATCTGTTTAAAGACTGAGGTGTGCATTTCCCAGGTCACAGCATTTTCAAGGGCTTCCTATGCACCTGGAAGCTGGACATTGAAAATGGATGGTGGAGGAAGAATCGATGCCTTTGAATTTTCTATGCTTTTCTGGTGGTCTTGGCTGAAAGTACTGACTATTCCATGGACTGCCAAAACTATAAAGTGCAGCTAAGTTGCTCCTTAGAGGCAAAAAAGTGAAAAACCTCATTTCACCTACTTTGTGCCTGTTGTCCAGAGGGACTAATCCTTGGAAAAAGACGAGTCAGAGAAAAAAGAGTCAGACCCTCAGAAAGAAGGATTGACACAGTGGTTGTAACAATGGCCCCGAGCCTGGTGAGGTTGTTGCTGGATAAGGCAAAGTTCAGATCTGTTGTTCACAGAGGCGCTCTCAGTCCTTTTACACTCAACAGCATCTAACAAGAGCCTTCGGGTTGGTAGGGAAAATCTCTCCCCATTGGGCCACCAGAGTTCAGGTAGCTCTTGTTTTTAGGTGCCAGTGAGTCAACTATAAGGTCAAATTGTTGCTGTTGTTGTTAAGTGCCATCAAGTCGAGTACAACTCACAGCAACCCTATGAGCAACAGATTTGCATCATATCATCGACCATACTTATAATCCCTGACACACTTGAGCCCATTACCATAGACACTGTGACTCTATCCAACTCATTGAAGCTCTTCCTTTCTTCTGCTGACCTTCCTCTTTTCCAAACATGATGTCCCTCTCCAAGGAGTAGTCTGACTTAACAGCATGTCCAAAG